GAGAGAGAGGGGGAGGGGGGGGCTGGATAAGATTTGCAGCAGTTTTGCCAACACTTTTAACTGATCTTACAATTTTGCCTAAATTGAGCAAATGGGGGACATAACAATAGGCAAATTGCATTTTGGAAAAAAAGACTGAAATGTCGTCAACATCAGAGGATCAAAGATGGGTAAAGAAGTTGGTCTACCCGTGCGGCCTTCAATCCCACCCATCATTCTCATACATAAATCATGATGGATAATTCGTGTATAGGTTGTGGTAATGGGACTATTATTGTCGTTTCAGTTAAAATGATATATTATTTTTGCTTTTAAAACGTTGCCCGCTCTTCTACAAGAATATTCCAATTATTATTTTGTCTTCTGCATCATCCGTGGGACTGTCCTCGTGGTTTTATGCACCCCGCTTAATTTCGCAAAATTAGATCATTTTTTGCATAATTTCTGATTGTTTTTCTTTATCATTCTTTGTTAAAATTAACTGAATCGCACAATTTAACATTTTTGGGCTCAGTTTGCATAATTTCAGAATTTTTAAAAAATAAAACGTCGGGGACAGATATGATATCTAATAGAACCGCCCGTCTTTTGTACAATTCTGTGGTGTTCGTTCACTCGCTGACATTCCTGGGCATGACAACGTTTGTTTACATTGAATGACCTGGTTTGAACTCTGTCGTTTTAACTTCGCCCACAGGTTCCCCGAAGCTGCTTCGGCCTTGTCCTACTTTCCATCATTCAGGCCGTCACATGCTCAGGTGAGAATTTTGTGAACCATTCTTTACTAACCCTACTTATGATGCTCTTCTTCTACTTCTTCTTCTTTTTCTTCTTAGCTTTTCCAGCAATTGAACTATGTTTCTGGGACCTTTTTGCAATAAAAGACTCCCTCTCTTGCCGTTCTGACTGTCACGGTTGTTTCGCTCTCTGGTTCTCTATCTTTGCTTACAGAATACTTTTGTCGAGTGAACCATGGTGTTTGATCAGCCCAAAATAGTTCAGTTTCGGTGTCCTTATGCTCTTGGGGAGTATGTTGGCGTTTCTATGCCTTTTTTCTTTAAAAATTAAGATGTTACAAAACTCAATAATGTTATCTATATCAACAAATCATGTCTTAAGATTGACAAGCTGTGTCTTTCTTGGTCTATTTTCTTCAAAAACATTATTGTAATACGCAGTCGTACAGAAAAGCAAAATATGCCGCTTTCAAGGTCTTACAGAAATATAGATGAGGTAATTCATTTTTAAAAGAACTTTGTACCAAAGGTACATTGATCCCTTACTGTTACATTGACTACTAAAAATTCAATTATATGTGCTTGGCTAATTTTCAGATCTCAAGTATGTACCATCCGTTTGCACAGACGAGGACAGCTTGATACCTATAGAAGGACAGTGTTCCTATTTCATCAAGTAAGTTAAAGATTTTCAACTTCATCTTCAGAGAATTAATATGGCACCACCTAATATCTATCTATTTATCAATCCATCCACCCATCCATTCATCCATCCATCTATCAATCCATCCACCCATCCGTCCGTCTGTCCGTCTGTCTGCCTGTCTGTCTGTGTGTTTGTCTGTCTGTCTGTCTGTCTGTCTGTCTGTCTGTCTTTG